GTCCGTGGTTCGATTCCGCGCGAAGGCCATTGCTCATTTTTCATCTTGCCTGCTTCCAAAAAATTCTAATGTCTGTACAGTGGCGCCCGAACTAAAAGGGTGTTGGATGATGATTCTCCTCACCCAGGATTTGGTGATTGGGTCCCTTAAAAACCCCAGTCGCTCTTTAAAAGGGGGTTGTATATAAGGTATTTCCACCGCCTTCGTAGCGTGCATTCGTGGTGTAGTGGTCAGTACACTGAGCCTGTATTTCAGAGGTCCGTGGTTCGATTTCCGGCGAAGGCGATTGCTAATTGCTCATCTCGCTTACTTCCAAAAAACTCCTAATGCCTCTACAACGTATTTCTAAAACTTTGAGACAATATTGGTACATTATTGAGATACATGATCACTTTATGTAACTTTTTGACACATCTTGAATACTACTCTGTAAGGAATTTGACGTTGTATATCGGAAAGAAATGTATTTCGGCGCTAATTCATAATGTTCTCGGAATAGCATTATAGATCCTTAAATTTGGCATTCAGTGCTTTACCATTTTGGGTCTACTTAATTATACTTAATTGTGTGCGTTAATAGCACATTTTCACACCTCTTAAAAATATATATTCCATGATTCTCATTCTTTTATTCCTTAATTGTTTCATTCTATAACATATTTTAGGTATGGTTAGATATTTTGCTTTGTTACCGTATAATATGGAGATTAAAGACAAATTCACAGCTTCACAAGTAATGTTTTAGATCACTCCTTTCCTCACATATCCAAAGGCAGGTGTTTGAAGTACTATTTCTACCGTAAAATTGTGTTAGAAATAGAACAATGATTCATTAGAAATCATTTGACCAATCGGCTGCATCTAGATTCGGAATTATACATTACGTGTTCATCTCGCCTTGGATATATTACAAATTTTCTAATAGCGCCTTGGAGTCTCGCTATTACAAAATTCTTGCAATAGTAATTTTTCAATATTTATGGTGTGACATTTAATGTGGAACTAATACCATTTAATTTCTCTTCTATTTTCTTGAATATTGTTTGTTGCATCTTTTACATGTTGGTCTGCAATTTTATTACCTATGTTTATTACAATGCGTTTACACAATTCAGTTGGATTATTTATATACAATAAATTACAACTTATTTTTAAGTTTTACGTTACCATATGTCGTTGGGTATCCAGCAAATACATCCTAACTTACTTACTTACTTACTTAGAGCCTCAATTGTTTTGGTAACACACAGCATGCCAAACCCTTATAGAGCTAAGCGACTTACGGCTATATCTTGAAAGGAAAAAGAAAGTATGAAGGATGTAAAATACCTTTTTATTAAGAAATTAAGAATTATTTTATCAAATAAATTGAACAGAAAGCGCTGCTGGCGCTTACAAATGTTGAGTTTCTACTTCCTCTTAGGGAGGAAACTAATGAACAGACAGGTGAAACCGTAACTAAATAAATATCAACAGAGAACTCAACTCTTAAGAGTTAGCTAATTTCCACACTTTTAGCGATCGTATAAGTGAAAATATAGTGCATTGCGTTGTATATTAAGCATCCGGGACGCATATTTCACAAGTGTACATCTGTGTAGCCACCGAGGGAGTGGCTTTTAGGATGGACGAATGGGCATCCAGTAATATTTCTATCATGTTACATGATCTTTCGTGTGCTTTAAGATTTAAAAAAGATGGTTGAAAATATTCTGCCACGCAATTTTCTGTAATAAAATAATTAAAGCATCGTCGATTTCTTTTGAAAATTTTCATTGCGAAGTTAGATCAAATACCTATAGGCAATTGCGAAGATTTCACTACCTGGCTGAAAGAATTTTAAATAAACAAAACACACGTTGGAGTCTCAGCAAAACTATCAGTCTGAAATATTACTTAATAAGTGGTAAATAAGATGACGAAAGAAATATGTGATAAACATCTGAACCCAAATGCTATCTTTACATAAAACTAAGCATATGAGAAAAATATTTACACCAATAATATATGTAAATAGAAGTCAGCACTTTTATTGCAGTCTATATGAAAAAGATTTTCTATAATAATAGCCAATGCAGAATCTTATTCAAAGTGAACTTTCCCAATTTTTCATTTGTATAAATTTAGTGTGTTAAATTTCACGTTTAATAACTGCTCACTCTTATGTTTTGTCTGCACAAGAAATACTCATCATACAGAATAAATTTTATTTTATTCACAACGAATATATTCAATTTATTCACAACGAATATATTCAATTTATTCACATATAACTTTTAATGTTAACAATGGATATACTCAGGTCATATGCAATTTGTATTCTGAATCTTACACTTTAAAAATCAAAAGAATGCAAGCATTCAAATAAGAAAACACTAGATTCATTGTAATACTTCCCGCCTTTCTCAGCTCAATTAAAATAAAACTTTACACTTGAATTCTTTTAATCCACAGGTGTTAGTAAATGCATAATATTCGAGGCTAATTGTCATTTCCTCAAAAGCGATAATATGCAGTGAACATCAATCCAAATGTTAATGCGTGATAAAAATCGTGAAAGTGAAATGTCAGCGATTAATTAAACTCATAAAACGAAAGCACTACGGGATTTTGTACTATTACGCCATACATTTATAACTGCGAAACTAATACAAATTAAAACGTAAACAACATACGCTCACATGCACGAAGATTTAGCGTCACAAGAGCAATAGAAGCTCATTGGTCCATTTTCGAAACTCCTCCCTCAGTGGCTACGCTGATGTGCACTTGTGAAATATGCATCCGGGACCGTGCCGTGAGAGGATCGTGTAAACAAGATGTAAAATCAATATACATATAAGAAAACACATAAAAGATATAAAGAAAACATAAGAAATAGGTTTCCAGATTAAAATACAAGTTTATTCAAATTCCTCAACAATTATAATTAAATTTCACATCCTAGGTAATCGAAACTAAATTTTCTTAATTTTTTACACATGTGAATTTTTTAATTTCTATCATTTTACACATTTTAATCAAGGATTTGCAAATCTGCTTTATGACCCATTTAATTTAACTTGAACTACTGCTGTAATTTCTAGAATGTTAAAAAAAACACATTATCTGAAATTCAACATCTATACTAAGGATGATTTCACAAAATAAACTATATTTTTGTACCAAAATTAACTCGTTAAACTTTGTCATTTTTAGTTTCAGAAAAGAAAGAAGGGGAAGTGGAAACAATTTTCAGCCATTTAGAATTAATTTAAAGATTCAATGTTGGTTTTAAAATTCCAAGGAAGTGCCTGGAACTTTACTTAAAATTCATAGGAATACATCAAACACAGAAAAAGGACTTATCTTAGGTAGACATCTTGAAGTGGAGAACTCGTATCCTAATTCTAGGCTTTCGATGAACGGCACTCCCCTCGGTTACAAGTCGAAGTTCAGAGCACATCATCCTGTCTTGGCACTTTTAGCGAAACACGCTGCCGCGTAACTGGTTTCCATAGACGAAATTCACTCTGGAAGGCAAGAGAACCGCTGGTCCCGCACGGCTGCCCGCATAGACTCTCAGCTCCACCAGGAAAATCGTAGACAAGTCTGCGGCCGGCTAGTATAACTGCCGTTCCCTGCCGTAGGCACAACTGGAAGACGATCTACCCTGGCTTATTCATCACCAGAACTCCAAGTGCAGTTCCTCACCGTCGAAAAGTCTGTCCAAAAGTCTCTTTAGATACTTCAGTCTTCAATCTCGCCTCTTAGCCAAAACGCAGCCGGGGAGCATATTTGCCGCTCCCCGCCGGAAAACACATCTCACGACGAATTACATCTCCTCCTTTCTACCGCTCAACCCAGAGCAAGTTCGAAGTTCCCGTCTTAGTCAAAAGGTCAGTCCCAAAAGTGATTCAAACTCGAATTCTTCTCGTCTCCTTCACAAACACGGGCTCCCACAATGGCTTCATTTATCGCCCCCTTAATCTGGACAAAATTTGCGTTTCTTTCCCCGAATGACAGAACTAGTGTGATCACACATGCGCGCCCCTCTTCACTTAGCCAACAACCGGATCCCCGATCGCCAAAACCAGAATGACTTACATCGAAAGTTAAGTGGCAACCTCTGACCCTTCTGTCACGTACTTCCTGTCCTAAAGGTCAATTGCACAAAATGAAATTTCTTCTAGAACATTCTAAAGGACAAAACAACGCGCGAAATCATGACTTAGCAAAATCGCCTCCCTTCCTAGCTTCTTTTCACAATGAATCAAAGCTTGGACAAAAATTGCAAATAAAAGGAAAGTAAATAATATTCTTTGAAACTAAATAATATTCTTAGAAGCATCTGTTTTTCCCCAAAATTAAAGCATTAAAATAAATAATTCAGAATCAAATAAAATTAAGATTTTCTTAAATCAGAAAATCATTCACCTAGTTTTTTATAACGCGATCAGACAATTATCTACACAACACAAATCAGCCACATTTTTGGAGCAAATTAAAAATTAAATTAAAACTAAATATGTTTCATTTGGCCAAACACTACGCAGAGGATATTTAAACGCAAAAGTTTGCTTTAACGTACATAGGAGAGTGACAGCACTATTTGCAAGATTAAAGCAACTTCGTAGACAGGAAAGCTATCATAGAATATTAACTAGTCACGTGATCTTCAACAGGCGGAACACGCTCTGAGTAAAGCACTCTCAAACTCTCACTTCAATACACACGAGCTAAAATTTGTATTCTGGTGGCAAAACGAAAAGGGAGAAGTTACAGTAAAGTTTCCGAATATAAAATAATTGGTTTATTAAAATAAGTACCTTACACAAAGCTCACATTTTCATTTTTTTCAAATATCAACCAGAGTGTGATTTGTCAAACTGCATATGTTGTTTTGTTGCTTTAAGTACCTAAGGTAAAATTCTGGCGTCCAGCCTAATTCTATTTCTTACTTGTCGCTTTAATTTGTTAAGTAAACTGTCGTGATTTTTCTTTCTGTTCCAATAACTTTTCCTTCATTTTATTTACAGCGAATTTATCCAATAACGTACTACAACAACCATACGAGTATAACAGCTTTTTATTGCTGGGATTCGAATGACGAAGTTGCTTTTACTGTCGCTGTTTACCAGCTCGTTGCTATGTTCATAGTTCCAGCATTTTTTATGACCATCTGCTACATTTGTGTCATTCGAGAGCTGTGGAGTAGTACCAGAACTGTTGCTGCTATGACAAGACCGAACGAGTAAGTGCTGATTGATTGTATGCATTGATTTTTGTAACATTCCAAATTTATACCAATCGTAGCAAAAATGTAAATTTAATGTATTCATATATCTTTTTAAAGTAAATAATGTATATATTCATATACATTTATAAAATTTATTAAAGTATTCATATATATTTTTCAAGTAAGAAATATAGTTTTATTAAGACACAATAACACGCCGAATAAATACTAATTCAGAAGTCAAACAACAAAAATCAGCATCATATTTACAAAATTTTCACAGGACTAGTTTCGATGGTTTTACCGAACCACCATCCTCAGCTGCAAAACGCAATTGAACAAGATAGGAAATAATGATTAGATAAGATAAGAAAGCCTAGACAAGAATAAGCAAGTGGCGCCATCTGTTGGCTAATTTGATGAGCTAATTTCTCTCACTCAACTCTGTTTAAACCAAAACCATTTTCTTTTACAAAATAAATATTACAAGCAAACTGACGGATTAGTCATGGGAAGCCCCCTCAGTGCCATCCTGGCTGATAACTACATGCATTATTATGAATCAAATAGTTTGAAACTTTAAACTTCCCGGCATGGTTACTACGTACGTAGACGACACTTTTACTCTGTTTGAAGGTAATAAAGATGATTTAAATAAAGTTCTTTCAACAATGAATTCTATTGATCCTGCTATTCAGTTCACTTTTGAACTTGAGACTTGCAATTCTCTTCCGTTTCTCGACATTCTGGTCACACGTAACACATCAAAGTTCAGTACTAAGGTTTACCGTAAGCCTTCATCGGTTTGCCTTCCACCAGACTTTAAATCATGTCATCCGACTAAACAAAAGTTAGCTTCATTTTATTCCTATTTTTCCGTGCTCTTCAAGTTTGCTCCTCCAAACTAGCCCTTGATGAAGAACTAAATTATTTAAAAGCAATAGCTATTGACAGGGGCTTTTCACCCAACATTATTAATCAAGCAGTTAAAAGATTCTCATCTCAACACACTAAAAGGCACACTCTTGTTTTAGGAGATTATCAAATTCTGTTGTCATTCCCTTCTTTCCATCAATTAGCTATAAAGTTGCACATATTTTGCAGAAATTTAACTTTCGGGTTATTTACTCTCCCATCAATAAAATTCCGAGTTCCATACTGAAGGACCCCATTCCGGATATGAATTCCTGGGGTATTTATAGGATTTCTTGCCAGTGTGGTTTAATTTATATTGGTCAAACTAAGAGAGCCTTAAAATTTTGCGTCAAGGAACATGAGGCATATGTTAGAAAAAAAGGAAACACAGAAGTCTTCTGTTGCTCAACATTGTTCGTCCGAAAACCACAGTTTCAATTTTTCTGCTGCCAAAATTATGCAAAAAACATCTTCCATTGTAGAACTGGATTTTCTAGAGGAATTTCACATTCATAAAAATCTTTCTGTTCTAGTTAACGATCCTAATTCCAATCCAAATTTGCCTACGGTCTTTAAAGAAATTATGTTTTAGTTCTGGTTTAGCCAACAGATAGGCCACTTGCTTATTCTTGTCCAGGCTTTCTTATCTTATCTAATCATTATTTTCTATCTTGTTCATTTGCGGTTTTGCAGCTGAGGATGCTGGTTCGGTAAAACCATCGAAACTAGTCCTGTGAAAATTTTGTAAATATAACGTTGATTTTTGTTGTTTGACTTCTGAATTAATATAGTTTTATATTTGTATTTTTAAGAAAGGTATTTAATTAAAAAATATATTTGCATTCGTTGAAATTTTTTTCTTTATTTTATAAATGCTTAAAAATATCATTTGTACATTTAATCAATAGTTTTAAAAATATTTCTGATTTAAACTTATTTTAATATTTGTAATAAGCGGTCTTATATCAATGTAATGTTAAGAGCATCTTTTATAAATAAGTCACAAACCATTTCCCATCCGGCTTAAAAGATGTAAATTTGAATACGTTTTGTTGCTGTAATCACAAATATTTAGCTTAGCCATACTTATTGACTGTAGACAAGAGTTCTGTAATTAATTTCTCACTATATTAGTCGTATTATCACAAAACTTTGTGTTAGCTATTGTCTGAGTCTTAACATGTGAACAAATAGTGAAGCATTATTAGAACTCGCCAATCAATAGATGGTATTTCTAAGGGTCACTCGTTAGATTAGAACACAATTAATTTAATACCTTACAAGTTATAAGCTTTATAATTTAGGAATTTCAGTTAGTCATGAAGCTATTTTTATCTTACTGGACGTGCTTTTACAAACTTCAGTAACAAAATTATTAACGTATATATGAAAAATTTATATGCTTACGGATTTGGTATTTAAATAGCTAATGTTAGTTGAATTATAAATTAAATTGTTTTATTCCCCGTGCAATGCAGCGCGTGACGAATATTAAAGGAAAGCTAAGCCGGGAAATTAAAAATACAAGAGCACGTATATTTAACATTTAATAAATAAATATCTCTTTTTGATTTCAAGAAAGTACTAGAAAGTTCTCCAGCGCGATTTAAAATCTTATAAAAGGAGGAAAACCTCTCAATCCGTAGTTGTTACTGGATTTTAGTTAGTTTGTTGTTGTTTTAAGAGTTTGTTTAGAAAACTGCTCTTGTTGACTGTAGCGAATTCGTGGATTAGCTTTCTTTAGCTGTTTTGAATTAAGTTCTCTTGAACGTTTGAGTAGTTAAAAGATAGCTACTGTGAGATATTGTAATACTGCACGAATATCTGAGGAAATTTAAGCATTTTTGTTGTGATAATAATAAATTTTGTTCATTTTTCATCGGGCTTGTGCATTCATTTCATAACGAACCCGTACGCACGCAACAATATTTTTGGAAATATGAGATATAATTCAAATAGTACATGTATGTTATTGTGGAAATCAATACTTGAAATTTGTAATTAATTGAACTGGAATTGGTAATCAAAATGCTTAAATAACAGAAGGCAAATTTAAGCAATTAAAACAAAAACAAACAAAAAAAAAAAAACAAGAGAATTATTATTGATTCAACAGAAAGATTTCGACTTTTCAAGGGAAATTGGAATCCCTCTATACAATTACCAAGAATTCTTGGGAATCGTGTTTCGTCCTTTCGCATTTCTAAACAAAATCTCCATTACAGTTTTAAATTTTCTAATCAGTTTTACAAAATCTGAATTTAAATCTTGAAAAAGGTAAGAAATGGGTAAAAATTTCCCGACGCGATGATAGACAATTAATTTTAAAAATAAGTATGGTATTCATACAGAACAATACTTACGCTTAAAAATAATAATAAATGAAATTGTATATGAAAAATAAAATAAAAATTAACAAGCGAATGAAATGAAAGAAATATACAAATAAAAGTCTATTAAACAGTGGGATTTTACATATTAATATGCCAAAATTATGCGTAAATATTTTCTTACATTTTACCCTAACCAAAGGTGATTTCAAAATGGCGTGTTCTCATTCATTGATATATTCTCTATTAAATTATATATATGTGTGTGTGTGTGTGTGTATTTGTACTATATATATATATAGCATTTCAATAAACTCTCAATTAATCAGGGACCAATTAATCGGGTTCAGGATTAACAAGTCCGATTTAAAACCGAGTTTCGCAATAAGTAAATTCTAAAAAGAAGCTAACGCATAGCACAATCATAATAAAACAACGTTATCTCAAACTATCAAAGTAAAACAAAAGTGTCTATACAAAATAAAAAGTAAACACATAAAAAAATTAAATCTTTCATATTTCAAATTACGCCCAAAGGAACGTTTTATTCATTTACATATATGTTTCGAGAGCATTTGGTCTAATGTTCCTTTGGGCTAAAGTAGTTAAAAACAGCCTATTTTTAGAATTCCCAATAGACAGTCTCGTGCGCTAGAGATAAAAATGTTTTTCTCCGTACAGTGTTGCCACTGTACGCTTTTAAATCGTTGCGTCTGTTAATCATATTTCGTTAAAGGTTCACAAAATTTGTAGTACACAATACAATATTTAAAAACAGCCTACCTTCAGAATTTCGGATAGACAATCTTGCGCCCTAGAGATAAACGTGTTTTTTCCCGTACACTGTTGCCATTGCTGGAACTGAAGTCATTGGGTGTTTTAAACAAAAATTCGTTAAAGTATTACAAAATATGAAATATGCAATAAAACAAATTCGAAATTCAAACTTCCATTGTTTTTTCACAGTGCAAGAAACATACATAGATTCAAGCTGATTCTTCATTATTTAATTTCTTTAAATATAATATAATACAGGGCGATAATATTTGGTGGCAACAGTTTGCAAAGTGATTCAGCCTTTTATAGTGATTCAGTGCAATATCTCGTTTTTAGACTAATAGCCCTTCTGGGCTAACACTCCTTTGGGTAAAAAAAAAAAAAAAAAAAACGCGATACCTAAACTGATAGCAACCGATGCCTTAATATTTTGAAATTGTTCCATCTGAATTAATGTGAAATTTAATTCTATGGAATTTGCAATAACCTTTGTACAGTAACAAGCAATGCGTTATAGCAAACTTTCTGATCAGAGATTTTAAATTGTGAATACTCTTCTTTAACATCATTTCACTTAAATGTTCCGTTTCCAATAATGCTTATTCTCTCTTTTAGCACGCGTTTCTTTTGTTTTCAGTATCAGTTCTGTTAAAATAACGATATGAATTTATTTTCTAATTTAAACGGCTTCATAATATACTTAAATCGTTAATATTTCTTTGCTGTTAATTGCACATTTTTCTGTTTTCCTGTATTTTTTGAATTGCCCTCGGTTTAATCACTGTGGCCGTTCCTGGTATTACCTGTATCGAGCAGAAGTCAACTGTAATAATGTATGAAGTAGAATGAAGAAACCATAAAGAAAATCTAGGGTGATAATTAATTTTAATTAACAATGTTAATTAACTGCATTTATGTCTTTTTTCTGTAACTATATAATGTGGCCGTTCCTTATAGTAATCAACCATTGTATAGTATACACTATGCTTGTAT